AGGCTACACAGAAGAAGGCTACTGATGTCTCAACTTACATCCAAGGCCTCAAGCCTAAGTTGCAACAAAAGGTGGCAAAGAGATGACACCAAAAATGCCAAGATGCCACCGAGCTTGTTTCTAGAGCTTAGGGCTTCTTCACTAAAGAGCTCATCCAAGGCCCTCTGGCAGAGCATCATTTTCTGCCAATTGCATTGTCACAGCCCAGCCTCGCATCTAGCTAGCAGCCGAGCAAATGGCTTCAGCCATAGAATCAGCATTAGCTGAATTCAAGGAAGACAAAGTGCTTCTCTAACAGGAATAGGAGCAACAGCTCAAAGTGGTTGAGGAGATTCGAGCTATAAGACTCTTAGTTGAGACATGTCCTCTTTGTTGTCCACGCTGGTGTGACAAATGCTGCTTGAACACTCATGATACAGCATGTTATTGGCATCTCCACCTGAAGCTGCATTCTCCTTGACAACAGCTTATCCAGAGGCAGCATTTTCTACCTTGGCATCATCTTCATCTGGAAATTACCATGAGATTCTCTAGCCTGATCAAAACTTATGAGGAAGAGGCATAGAAGTAGCAGCTTGCAATAGCAACTCATGCCCAGGCAATAGCTGCCCAGGAATTAGACAGAAAGGTAGAAACAAATATCAAGGATTCTATTCTAGTGACACTTATGGCATGCAAGCTGCCGTCCAGCATTTGTTCGACATGTAAGTCTTGGCAATCTTTTGTGAGCAGCTCCAAGAACCAAGCAAATGGCCAAAGCGTCTAGCCTTGCTCTTTCTCCCACTCCACCAGCAGATCAAGTACAAGTTATGACCACAAGAGCATCCTTAGATTTTTTTTACTTTTGTTTTCTCAAGCTCGTTTGCAGCTCTTCCTGAATCGTTAAAGTCCAAACGCAGTAATTTCTTATACAACGGGGTACGTAAGCGATTTTCGTAGACGGCTCTGATTTTCGTACTTGCAATACTTAGAAGAATATATCTTGCTGCGACGAGAGAAAGAAAAGAAAAAGAAAAGCGTCGACTGAGGGTTGTTTAATACCTGGTCGAAAGATTAAATGGTTCTGAAGAAAAGATGCAGGACCAACTGCACTGGATTCTCCTGTTGCAGCTTGAGCCACAACTATTTTGAAAACTAGGTGGGGTTTATACTGTCGTATCAGACTATCCATGTTTTCCTTTTCCAGTGCTCCATGCTATTTGTTCAAATTTATCTATTGAATTATTTCGTGTCATACATGTCTTTCCTCCAGTGGCATTTTCTTTGCGCAGCTGCTGTCGTCGAGAATCCACGCAGACAGAGAAAGGATTCAGAGGCTCGCAAGCTTGGCATGTTATGTACCAGAGAGCTAAAACAACGCTTTAAAAAGGACTGCATGGCACCTCTCGTCTCTTTTTTCTCAGTGAGGTACCACATCTTTGAGCTCGATTGACCGCTTTTTTGTTTGTGTTTTCCGCAGGGATGCTTCATCAAACGCGGCTATGCCTCTCCAACGTCTTTTCCGTTGGATTCCATCGATCTGGGACAGGGGGATATGCGAAGGATATGTGGAGGAACTGGAGTTCTGGGAGTTCATTACGTGCAAGGGTGAGTGATTGCGGGTGCGATTAAATCGATCCATTGGTGGATCGACGTCAACTGAGATTTCGGTAAGTGATTTTCTTTCTTTCTCTCGGAAAAGAAAACGTTCTCAAAGAATTTTCATGCAGTTGTTCTTCAAGTCTTAATCAAGTTTTAATGCAACTAAGGCTTAAAAAATCTAATCACTTAGATTGAAAAATATTTTGGGGGATGAACTAGCTGGCGTTGTTGTTTATTGCGTCCAGGAAGCTTTGTGTGTTAGGCAATAGCCACATCTTTGGTGTTGAGGCGATTGTATTCTTCCATCGTTGGTGAGTGAAGCAATTTTTCAACCGAAGTGCTGCTCTGCAGGATATCTTCGTAGTCTTTCCAGTTTCGTTCCTTGCTTTTTTCTAACTCTGTGGTGTGTAGGTTTGGGAACGATCACTGGCTTCCAAAACTTGGGGAGTTGCTGCATCCTTACAGGCAAAAAATTACTTCTTTCAACTTTCAAGTGTTGACACTTTTCTCGAACTCACACAGCAGCACGGTCTGACTACATTCTCAATGGATCAAAGGTCTAGTACGACTCCAAGACCCAGAATTGTCTCTCATCTTTCAGGCTTTCATCAGCGGAGGAAGTGCTAAGGACTTATACCTGGTGATGGCTTGAACAAGATCGCTGAAAGGGGATGTCTCGATCAACTTACCACTTCTTTTAAAGCTTGTTGGATACTCGTTTTGATTGGCTGTCATGGAAGAGATGCATGTACCTCCTGCCAATATGCTTGGGCATCGGGGACAAGGATTTGGCATCAGCCTTGATGGAGGTCGGGTTTGACGACTGTTTTGTTTTGCTATCATAACTTGTTTCATCTTATATTAGTGTTGGACAGCCTCGATACTGTTCACGTCTACTCCCAAACAAGTAACTGAATATCCTAATGCATCCTATGGTTAAACAGTGCTTGTTTTTTTTTAAAGCCACATCGTTCTTTAGCATTGAACTCTCGAAACTTGTGCCAACCTATTTTCAGAATATTCTAGGTGCTTGTATCATCAGCGGATCTCATGGTTGATGGTATCAAATGCCACTGCTGAAAAGCTGCAATGGCGAAAAGGTTGTTGTTGGCGCTAAACATGTTTGCTCCTAACATTTTAAACGATGCATTACAACTTCATGGAGGATATGGCTACTTAAAGACTACCCAGTAACAGGACAAGCTAGTGGTGGCTTTTGTGAATAATTTATTGTTTTCCAGGTTGAAAACCTGCTAGTCCATACCATACTCGAAGGGTACAACAGCCGTGAAGGTGTGAGGGAAGGATTAGATTCCCTTACGGTAGCCAATCGATGTTTTAAAGGTTTAGTTGTCTTGTTCTAAAGATCCTGTTTTAATTGGTGCGTAGCCTGGAGGTCCGCCATTACTACTACCGCTTGATTAAGCGCATGAACAAGTTCGATGCGAGGGACTCCAAAGATGTACATTCAGCGATGTTATGCTGGTGAGGTGGATCTCATTTGTCTTAGACATTTAAATCTTTTGTTTCAGGTGGTCGCTCTGGAAAAGTTCAAGTGTTCGTCTTTTAAGCTCCATTTTGAAGCCTCGACATTTACGACTGCTTTGGTATGTATGCTCATTACTGTGGACTCTCCTGATGCATTTTTATGTCTAATTTAGGAGCAACATCGTCTGAAGGATCGGAAGAAAGATGAAAAGAAGGTTAAAGCAAGCACGGACAAACCTGCCAGTATTGCTACTGGTGACGTCAAGAAAATATCGTAGATACGAACTCTAGTACTAGTGCCTCAACTTGAAGGTCTGTTATTTTTTGCAGTTTTGCGTGTGTGTGTGTGTGTTAAAATGTCTGCAGATAGCCCCAAAACGGTTCCTGAATCCGAGCGAAATCGATCATTGGAGGTGGAGAACTGGAAGAATATAATATGGACAAGCAAAAATGACTGGAATTTTGGCAAGTCTGTTTTTGAAAAGCAGACGCTCGGTTTAGCAGCACCTTTTTCCAATTGACGACAAGACTAAAACATCCGCACCTTGAGCTGACGCTAAAGGCCTCAAAAAGCATAAGCTCTGTTCTACAGCACTTGTCTCAGAAATTGGGTCGCTGCTCTGTGGCTACTGGAGACATTCGTCTCTATCCTTTCATTCGAGCATTCCTCTACAAGCTGGAACTCAAAAGATGTGATGTGCGCTGCAGACGTTTACGATACCGTAGGAAGACGTCAAGTATTTCGCTTGAGGTAATGCTTGTTTATTCTTTCGTGTTCTTTCGTTTGGAGTTGCTAACTTCACTGCCACCATGCTATGCTGGACAGGTTTGGCTGGTGCCAAAATGTTTGTGGAAAGAGCTCAAAATCTGGTGCGGAGCTATCGAGAGACACGAAGATCATTCTCAACTGGATTCTCAAGTACCTGGCTGTAGTTGGTTGTATGACCAACTACAATTCTCAAGTACGGACGGCTTTGGCCAGCGGCTTTGGCGAGATGAGGTAAGCTAACAGTTCGACGTACATCTTTATTCCAAATCTTGCGGGCTTTTGCAGGATTTACTGGGAGCTTCTTCAGTTGATCGCTTCATTGTATTGAATGACGCCTCCAAGCACGACGCCGATCGATATTCTCTAACGCCTTCGGTGTGGGGAGGCGAAGAAACATGCGATGCGTTTTCTTTCAAAACGAAGGAGCACATTTGGGTCGTGCTCGGGTATGCATGCTTCCAGCGTCTCTCTGTGTTTTATTTACTCCAGCGTTTTATGTCCGCCGCTTGTTCGCTACTCGGGACGTCACAAGGCACATCCAGCTCTGATTTGCTCCGCTCATCGTCAAACGCGGACGTGCTCCGCTCATCGGCTTTGGACCTGTATTGGGTGAGCGATTCTTCATTGCAGTGGAAAACTTGTTTTTGCATTAAACTTTGTTCGTGTACCTCCTGCTAGGCCGATTCATTGGGAGCTGTGGATGGGACGTTCGCGCACGGGCAAAGCCTGCTGTTAAACGGGAACTCGTCGCTTGGAGGTGGTATATCTACGAGTTTGTTCCCGGACAGCCTGGACGAACAAACTCCAGGCGTGCTACTCTCGCCTAATGACATCCAAATGGTTGAAGTGGATCGTCAGTGAGAGAGTGCGTCCATCTTGACAGCTCCCCACAACGGAAGCAACAGAGCGGGGTTGTTCAAGCAAGTTGGCATGGACGATAGAATCAACCATCGGCGGGGTTTAGGTTTTCTTTCCAACCAACAAACTGCAGCATTAAAGCGATCCTCGCACCACAATAAGTATTGTTATCAAGAGCTGAGATGCTCACAATTTTATATTGCTGGTTGTTTTAGCATAACATAGCCATGGATTCTTCTTGCGGTGGATGACGATAGATTTTGGTGGCCAGCCAAACCTTTGGAAAGATTTTGGAGCACCGACATGGCAGGTACAATGTGGATTTGTAATTTATTTTCGTGTTGCGATAGCTATACATAATATATCCAGTGGTGACGTGGTCCAGGCCCGCTGACAATGGCCACCAAACGTCTACTGGGATGAGGTAGAGCGTCGTGCTCTTGCATAAAAGGCTCCCACTGTTGCAGCTAAGAGAAAGAGAGGTTCTTCCTCTTTTTCCACTGCTCTTTTCGCGCGGCCTAAAAGTTCTCCTTATGGAATATAAATTTGGTGTTGGACTCTTGGGAATACTTCCGGGACAGCACATCTAACTCTTTGGCGACTTGCGAAGGCCCGCAGTAGAACACTCCTAACAACAACCAAAGTAAGTGGAGTTTGCTCTCATCATTTTCTTCTCTTCTTCTTACCTATCCTTGAATTGTCGTGTGTAGCAGTGAGACGTGCAAACACCTTGTCCCAGTTTGGCCTTGCGAAGTGAGTGCGTGCCTGGGCACAAAGAAGAAGAAAAGAAGATCTTAGCGAAAGCTCTGGGGATGAAAGTTTTTTACCCGGGTGCCCGAGACGATATCCACGCCGTTTTTGGTGTGGTGTAGAGCTTGTACCATTGCAATGAGAGCCGAGCGCGCGTCACCTTCCTCGTACACGCTTGTGAGGTAGTTGTGCATCTCAATTACTGCCTGCGGAAGCAAAAACTTTATACGTCAGCAATAAATCTTTTCTTTTGAGCATTGCAATCAACCAAGAGCTTCTATCGTGGTTGCGGGGCTGACTTAAGATTGGTGACGAGTGGCTGACCTTGTGATCTATTTCGGCCACCTCATTCATGACGCCTTTGAACCACTCGAACGAGCCTTGCTCTCTGGTGACCCAGTAGAAGTAGGCGTTTGTTGGGCCACGAGACTTGCGGCTCTTTCTTCTCGGGCTATCAAACGGCTTGCTAAAGTCTATGTCCTGCGAGCAAGCAAGCAACACAACTTGTGCTAAGAAAAGAACTAGAAAACAAAAGAGAGAAGCTTACCGACTGTTGCTCCGTGGATTTGATGTTGTTGAGCATGTCCTTTAAGATGCTGATAAAAGGTGTAGCTCCGATTCCCAAGCCAACGAGGAGCATCACGTCATACTTCCGGTAGTCCTGAGCAGGAGCGCCATAAGGTCCATCAATGTAGAGCTTTGGAAACCTGTCAGGAGATGTAAGCCAGCCAGCCGCGGACTAACGGAAACGTTTGGTTGTTGGAATCACTGACCGTGAATCGTCGATGGAAGAGCTAGTGTCAACTGCCTACGCACAACTGTGGATCAGGACAGGCATTGAAGGGGAAGCAAACAAACCTTTGCAAACATTTTCCTCATTTCCTTGGTCCAGTCCCCCACTGTCCGTATGTGCACATTTAAAAACTCGTCGTCGGGCGCAGACGTGATCGAGAAGGGATGCCTGGCCATACAAAAGAAGAAGAAAAAGTGTTTCAATCTGCTTGCTAGGGTCACAAAGATTTTTACCACTCGAATGGCGAGATCGCTGGACACTGCAGAAACATGTACATGCCACTCCGATACTTGAAGCCTGGAGGTTTCGTCATGTCCAAGGCAAGAACGTTGCCAGGATGAATTGCTGCCTGTGAAACAAAGTTTCAGCGCGAGAGACAATTTGCTGCGGAAAGTTACCTTTACTATGTTGACTCGATGCTGCCTCGATCTTAAAACGCGCAGGAACCTCTCGCCAACGTACAGCAGCAATGGACAGGATAGATATATCCACGTCTGCAGTACAAAAAATATCAGAAGTCAATCAGATCATAATGTAGGTACCGTCTTTTGCAGCCAGTCTGGGGTCAGGAAGAGAAACACCGAGTGTATGATCAGCAAGGCGTAGACCAAAATAAAAAGATGATGCGAGTACCAAAATGCGTTGAATCCTGTTAACCTGTGGAGGGGCCAAGGGAGCCTGACGATGTTCTTGCGGGACCAGTGCGTTGCAAGAAGAAAAGCTATTGACATCAGGACCACCATGATAATCCCCGTAATCCCCTCAATCGAAGCCAATATGCCAAGGAAAGATGGTTGCCGGCCGTGGAAACCATGCCCAATAGTATCAAGAAATATACGACTGTTTGCGTTGGCCATCTTGGGGAAGTCACAAGCAATATGAGTTCCTCCGTGAAGCAAAACGCCGAACAAAATCGCTGCAGCAATAAGCTGGAAAACAGGCCATCGTAAGTAAGCATGCGTACAAACACAGGAACAAACGAAGTCATACCTTGTGAAAGTTGATGTTGTCGTTGAAAGGTAGTATGGATCCGAAAACAGTGGAGCGTAAGGACGTGATTGTGATCCTGCAAACTGGCAGCAGGACCAATGCCATGTTGAGTTTCAAAGTCTCCGCAGCGCCCTTGGCCGTGCACACACAGTATCCCATGATCTTAAAAGCGGCTCTGTTCTTGTACTCTATGAACTTCCAGGTGAAAAGACCGGTCATGGCGAGAAACCACACGCACAGCACCCATATCCGCTGCCAGTTGTCCAGAGCGAAGTACTTGATCGTTCTCTGGAGTAAATGCAATCGGTTTCTTCTTCGAGAGTGTAAAGTTGGAGCACACGCGTACCCATAGGACGGATCCTCAGCGAGTGCGATCGGCTCTCGCATCAACCGTTCAAGTTGTTTCACCTGAAATAAGTTGAACGTTGAAAGGTTGCGTGGTAGGAAGCTTCTTACCTCAATGTATCCTTGTTTATTCTGATCGAGTTCTCCCATGATGAGAGCTGCGTATTCTTCAGCTTGCTCTTGCAGAAACGAGAGCTTGTTCGCCGACGCACTGAGTAGAATTATCTGCAATCCGGGGCTTGTTCCTTTAGTTTAGCTCGAGCAAAAGCAGAGGGAGTAAAATCAACTCCATATGTACCTCTTTCACTTCGTTTTCTGATATGCGACCGTCCAGATCCGTGTCACACCTATGGATAAAATTTAGAACAATCAAAGAAAAGACTGGACAACTTACAAGTCAAAAAATGTTTGCAATCGAGAGCTAAATCTCTTGTCTGTGATTTGAAGCCAAAAGTCCCGGAGTTCTTCCTTCGAAGCGGTCCACAGCTCGTCATGGCCTTTCCGCCGGGCTAGAGCATCAAACAGCAACTCCGCAAATTCCTTGGAATCGCTCATTCCTGAGTAGTTAACGATCGTCAGCTTTTCCATCAAACTCTTTCTTGTTGGCTTACCAATGCATTCCCCAAAGTCCGAGCGTGAAAGCCGACACTCCTCGTTGGCGAGCTTGTGAAATCTAAGCTCCACAGCCTCCCACTGAGACTTTGCGTTCTTGCTGGCAATTGTCTTCTCGATGAAGCGCAAGCCCTCGATCGCATACTCCGTGCCGGACATCGATCTCGAGAGCTGGCCGCCCTCGCCATCCGGGGAGAAATTCAGCGGCAAGATCCGCGCGGAGCTCCCATTGCGCCCCACCTTCTTGAGCTCCATCTCCGATTTGCCATGATGCAACATTTTATCCCACGAATGCAAGCGGAGAATATTTTCGGGATTTCCAGCCGGGGCGACGCTCTTGAGCGAGATCGAATCCCTGTGAACGTCAAGCGTGACCTCGAGCACGATCTGGCTACTGCTGCTGCTGCTGCCGCTATGCAACACATCGCCGAGCTGCAAATGGAGCGAATTGGATCGCCTGCCGCTAGTGCTCGCAACTTCCCTGCTCACATCCATGCGAAATTCCCCCGATTCCTCCATCGCTCCCCGAAATATCGCTAGCTAGATCGCCAAGCCATGCGAAATCACTGAAGATCCCAGCAATGCTCCCGATATTTCACTTCACCTTCCTCATTGCCGCGAGAAATGGGAGCTTTCCAGGGATTCCTGTCACGGAACTGTCAAATGCAAGCCCAGCGCCTCGAAGAAAGCAACCCTTGCCGGGAGAGTAAAGAAGAGAAAAGAAAGAAGTGGAAGAAGCGCTGTGTGCCACGCCCTGGATCCCACTGCAACACTGATCAATGCTTCGCTTGTCAATGCCCTGGAAGGAGAAACCCTGCTAAAAAAATAGAGAAGATCGAAGGAACTAATCGATCGCCACTGCCACCGGCGCTCCAAAGCCACCGGCCAATAAAAACCCCTACTAAGGATCATAAATGCACCTAACAGAGAGCTTACCCTATCTGGAATATGCCCATCCAACGGCCTGTGGCGTTTGGCGCCAATTCCAGCAATCCGTATGCACGGCTAGGAGAATATGCCACAGGTTTGACCGCCCGGTGTACGGAGGGCCAGTGAACGCTGTTTTTCCACTCCCGACATTTAAATTTCCTACAATGGCCCTCAAGCTACTCCTAAGGATATTCTCCTTCGAGAAGAAAATCGAAATTGGTATATTTGAAAAGTATCTTTTTTAAAATTTGAAATTTCCCGCGAAGACACGAGTATGGAATGTATTATTCACACACGAACTACGTATACTTACACTTCGTTGTCCTCCAGTTCTTTTGGGAGAAGACTAGAATCTAAAGGGCTTTCTCATGTCGCCATTGATGGACAAGCTCGCGTGGCCATCCTTGAAAGAGATCAAGGATCTATCCAGCGCCATGGATCCAGTGGAGAAGCCTCTGCCATTGCCGTGCTGCGAGGAGGAAGCGCTGCCACCTCTTCTCAGCAGGGCTCCAGCGATGGAGCCAGCATTATTGGCGGCAGCGGTGGCGGAGGAGAAACTTCCACTGGCGGTGGTGGCGGCGAGGAGGAGGTGGCCGCCATTCATGGAGTTTCTCATGCTCTTCCTGGGAGTGTCGGGCATCGTCAAGCCCAAGAGCTGCTCCGGCCTTTGCTTGGGCGTGCTGTGGGAGCGAACTTTGGCCTTGGACGACTGCGTGGTGGCCATGTAGCTCGGCACCGCCGCCGCCGGGAGCTCGGACGAGGATCCGGCGAGGGTGAGATCCATGTCCCGGATGATCCCCTGCTGGAAATCCTGGACAAAGCTCTGGTTTTCCGCGCTGGTACCCGCACCAGCAGCAGCAGCGTTCTTGAGAGGCTTGAGGGTGTTCTTGGCGAAACAGTCGTCCAGAGCCAGGAGATCTTTTGGAGAAGCGGCAATGGCGGCAGCGCTGGAGGATTGATCGGCGTGGTGGTGGTGGTCGATCACTGGACTCGGGTGAGAGAGCAAGTTTTGCGCATTGGGGGAAAGTCCGTGGCGATCAGTGGAGATTGGAGGCGCTGGATTCGTGGGGCTTGGAATCACGATCTTGTGCGCGTCCGGGATGGATTCCGAGGCGGAGCCGGATCGTTTCTTGGCGGGTTTTGCTATGGCTGTGTTGCTGCTCGGTGGTGTTGATGACAAAGGTGGTGGCGGCGGAGCTTTGGCTGGATTTAGCTTGTTGGTGGACTGGTTGTTATAGTCGACTTCGACGATCTTGGTGCAGCCGGAATCGACCGGACTGGTGGCCTCGAAAGGATTCTCCCAGGGCCGCGCCGCCATCCATCGCTCGAGCCAGCTCCAGCCCCAGTGTGGGGTGTCGGGCTCGCAGTCGATCACCATGGGTGATGCTGTTCGGCTCTGCAACTCGGCCAGAAACTTCGTCAGCTATATCACAGAAACAGAACCAAAGTAATTGACCATGAAAATGTGGCTATAATAAACACACATCGTGATCTGGACGAACTTGCAGAAGAGTTTTGAGAATAGCGAGAAAGCCAGCTAGAGAAACATACGAAATAATAAAAGAGACTTTGAGCAATCCATACATGCAAAAAGAAAGAAAGAAACTCTCCAGGGATGGAAAAGATAGAATTTTGACGACTTTGAGAGCACAGAACCATCACTCGCAATCTATACATGCAAAAAGAAACATTGGACTCCAGAGATAGAAAAAGAGAAATTTGTTTTGAGACATGACAAACAAGCACGATTTTCTCTCAACATGAACAAAATCTCTACACAGACCTGGTTTGATTGGGAGAATGCATAGGCCAGAGCTCGCTCCCGTTTCATCGCTCCCAGGTGCTTTCGCTCGTTCTTGGCATGGAAATCCTCCACAGTGCCAGTGCTTGCAATCCATCCATCCTACGATCGAAGAAAACAAAAAGAATGAAAAAATGGACTATCGAAAGAAAAAGCAATGAACAAACCATGGATTTTCGATAGCGTCCCCTGCGCTCCAGGAGCTGCTGCTGGACAGCCTGACCTTCCTTGGACATCCGGACCCGGCGAGCTCGGACTCGGGCCTGGACTCGGACAAGAGCTTGCATGCATCGTAAAGTTATGGCGGCCTGCTTTCGAACTCGGTGGCCTCGAAACAATGCCTGGATCCTCACCACTGCCTTCAGCGCACGCAAAGCTCGCCGAGCCTAGAGAAACAATCAAGCTCTCGATAAGAAGCAAGGTGGCGAGCTCGAAGAACAACTTACTAAGTAGCCACGAAAGGCAGTCTGGATTTTGATAGCGGCCCATTCCTCGCGACTGATGAGCTCGAAAACTGGACTAGCGTAGTTTGCAGCGCCAGTGAGGCGGACCACCGCAGCAGCGGCATGAGCAGCAGCGACGGCGGCCTCGGCGGCGGCAGCGGACGCAGCCGCGATCGCAATCGCGTGCTTGGCCTGCTCGTTTTGGCTGTGATCCATCTCTCTCGCGGAACTGGAGCTGGGTTTCGCGAAGTCTGCCGGGGCCGCTGCTGATTTTCCAAAGCTCCATCGCCTCTTGTCTTTGCTGCTCTTCCTCTAAAGTGTGGAAAACATTCTATTACCTATCATAGTAAACTATCTGGAGCTTACCACATCTTGTTCTTCCACAGAGGATTTTTTCGAGGATTTCTTGAGTCCAATCAAGGCCAGCAGCCACCGCGTAGACTTCCCCATGTCAATCAATCAGAGCGGCAGAAGAGAAGAAAGAAGGCGACGAAGCAAAAAACCTGCAAACCCATGCCAAAGGCAAAAGATTTAGATAGAGTGGACGAAGGAAAAGCGACAAATAGATAGATCAAGGCTTGACTCTGTCTAGAACGCTACAGTACGGGTAGATCTCCAATTCCATCAAGCCATCCTCTACTAGACACATTACCTCTCATCCAATTCGCCAATCTCCTCCCGAATCGCCAAGATCTACCCAAAAGCCAAGGGACATATTGATTGGATCTTCATCAATTCATCGCCAGGAGATCCAATGAAGGGAAAGGACGCGACGAAGGAATGTAGATCCAGATCCGGCAAAATGCCGATCGAGGCCGTCGCAATCACGCCCAGCAACGATCTTACGGGAAGAAAACCCAATCGATTTCACCAAATTCCCTACGAATTTCTCACACCATCTATCAATTCTTTGCGCAGCGCCAGCCACACAGAGAGCAATCAGACAAGCTCTCTCTTCTCTTCTTCTTCCTCGCTTCTTTCCTCCCCTCTTACACACACACTCACACACCACTTTTGTTGGTGTGGCAACGCTTTCTTTCTTTCTTTCTTAGTGCTTCGCTGGCTACTGTAGCTTTGCCAGGGACAGTGTCCCTGACAAGGCCCCAGTGTAAATTCCCAGCCTCTCAACATAACACATGCTCCTGTGTTGTGTCGCGGGCCCGCCGTCACCTTTGCAGGGATATGTCCATCATTTTAGAAATATTTTCTCCAGTGCATATCATCATAAGTACTCTTAATCATCGTTACAACAAAACTTCAACATTGTACAGCTTTAGAAATGGAAGTCCTTAAAAAGTAAATCCTTCTTTTCAGTTCCTCCTTGAAACTAAGACGGCACTGTGAAGAACACACAACACACAGTATCAGTCCCTGAGAACTTCGAGCGATGAAGAATTGCTTACTGTAGGTGGAGGTATCGATCTGCTCTGGCAGCTCCTTAATATCTACTTCAAATCTCTCCTGAACCTGTGCAGCATTTACCAACATGAGTATTGTCTAGAAACAAAACGAGACAAAGGAACAAACTCGAAAACTTGTGACTATACTCACTTGATTTAGCACGTTCGAGTCAGTCGAAGAAGCTACAAATGTGATGGCCAAGCCCTTTGTTCCGAATCGTCCAGCTCGGCCAACCTGAGAGGAAAAGGATGAGCTCTCGAGGATGACTCGAAAGGAAAAGAGAGGCTCACCCTATGTAAATAAGTATCTGCGGATTCTGGCATATCATAGTTGATCACGATGTTCACGCGCTCAATATCTATGCCCCTCCCCACCAAGTCAGTCGCCACAAGAATTCGCTTGTGCCCTTCCTTGAATCCCTTGTACCTCGTCAACCTACATGCCGCATTGGAAGTCAGCTATATCCTTGTACACACGAGAAAAACATGAAAAACTACCACCACACCTTTCCTCTTGTGACATCCCCGAGTGGATACAGATAGAAGGGAAATTGCACTCCACCAGCAACTTGTTCAGCTCCGCCGCACGGTTCACGCTCTTGACGAAGATCACCACCTGGTTGAAGTCCAAAGCGTCCAGAAGATCGTTCAGCTTCCTGTTTTTCTCAGCTTCACTTAGTTTGATATAGTGCTGCAAACGAGCAAAAGTCAGAACAAGAAAACTCGGAAGAAACGCTTTCTTACCTGCACCAGTCCGTGCAAAGTCAGCTTGGCTTCGTCGTCAACATAGATCTCCATAGGCTGCCAATTGAAACAATAGGTGAGGTGAACTCCTTGTAGAAAACGAAGCACCAAAGCTAACAGCTTCCGTTGGACTAAATGCAGCAGCTGGTCCAGGTCACCTGAACTTACTATCTAAGCACCACCTAAAAGAAGTTCTTTCCTCACGCATCACTCACAGCCAGGAAATAGTTCCGTCTTTCGGCGGTAGCAGAGAAGAACTAACACTAGAAATCATCATGCAGCAGCCCCAGAGTTCCTTGGACGCATACCAACAGAACGCCTCTATGCCCAAACCAGGAAAAACTGTCGGATGAGAGTGTGACACCAGGACATTACATCTTGCATGAACCGCTTGCAAACCGGGCGAATTTCCTTGCTGAGGGTGGCTGAGAACATCATCACTTGCTTGTCGTGGGGTGTCAGCTTGAAGATCTCCTGCACGTCGCGCCTCATGTCTATATAGAAGCTCCAAGGTTAGTACAGGAACACAAAGAAAGAGATGGAGAGCGATCGCAGCAACCCAGCCGACCATACCGAGGGACTCCAGCATCTTGTCACACTCATCAAGGATGAAGTGCCTCACACCCTTCAGGCTCAGTTCCTTCTCCCTCGTCAGCTGAAGAATACGCCCTGGTGTGCCGACGACGATGTGGGGGCATTCGTTTTTGAGGAGGTCCTTGTGGGTCTTGATGTTGACACCACCATAGAAAACCGCAACCTTGATGTCTGGAAGATAAGTGCTGAATCGTTCGAACTCGTGGCAAATCTAGAGAAAAAAGAAAGTTTTAGTATGCACATCTCAAGAAAAGCTACTGTACCTGGTAAGCTAGCTCTCGCGTGTGACATAAGACCAGAGCAGCAACTTGCCCCTTAAGTGGCTCGATCTGCTGCAGCGTTGAAAGCACGAACACGGCAGTTTTTCCCATTCCGGACTTCGCTTGGCAGATGACATCCATTCCGAGTATAGCTTGCGGGATGCACTCGAATTGCACTGTTCGGAAGATAAGTTGGGTGTTAAACTCGAGGAATAATTACCTAGTGAACATGAAACAGGAAACCCTCATAAGAACCCTCTAAAGAAAATCTAAAGCCTTTTGCGAACCTTCTGATGGATGCTCAAAACCGCAATCAACGATAGCACGAACGAGTTCAGGCTTGAGTAGAAAGTCTCGAAAACCGGAGCTGTGAATACCAACATAGCCCCTGAAGAAGAAACAAGCATTAGCAAGAGTCGCGAAGAAAAAGGGAAAGGAAAAGACTCACTTTTTCACTGTTTCTGCCGCTCCCTTAGCTGCAACGGCGTCGGGGGCCGCTTCTTCTTCCTCCTCGTAGTCCAAAAGCTCCTCCTGATAAGTGTCGTTCTCCTTGGCTTCACCCATTTCCAGCGCGGCTACAAAGAATCAAAGAAAAGTGTTACGGCGCGCTCCGGCGGCGGCTTGGCGGTGGAGAGAGCAGGACGAGAAGGGCAGCGCCGCGCATGGAACCGATTTGCCGCGGCCCACAAAACCCTAGCCCTAGGAGAGGATTGGACGATCTTTACCGGAGATGCGAGGCCTTCTTCTGCGAGAGATCTGAAGCTGCTACTACTCTTCCGCCACAAATCTTCTTCCCCCCACACTGGCTATGGCGGCGAAGACCCTAAATAAAACAACAAACACATCTACTTTCACTCCCTTCCTCCGCATATCTTGGCCGTCCGTCTCCCGCCCATCATGGCCGTCGATGCCAGGTTCAGAACAGACGGCCACGATGCGATTAAAACCAACGCCTGAGATTTGCAGTTTCTGATCTAGCGGCTGAGGTTCAAACTCTTCGATTGCAACGCACCCATAGAGCAATGCCTCCTCCTCGCCCCTTTCCAACGACGATTTCTTCGTCCGCGTAGAACCAGATGAAGAAGGGATCTTTGTTCCCGGGCTCTCGATCCAGCTCTTCTTTCTTGCTGATCGCGAATTGGAAGGGGCCGAGACGCCCAACCTTGAAGCTCAGGGAATCGAAGATGAAGAAGAGCTTGTTCTTGGACCATGAGAAGCGTCCCATGAATTCCAGCACACCAAGAGGGCCGAGGTAGAGCCCGTTTTGTATGCTCTTTGTCTGCGGTGATCCACATTGTTAACGACGAATCTTTGTGAAAACTTTTGGAAACTTACAGTGGCATTGTATTGCTGCACAGCGGTAAATGGGAAGTATGTGCCACCTCCAGCACCACCTTTCAAAGCTTCTCGCACCTTCAAATCGAAAGCAAAAACTAAGAGCAAAGTTCTAGATTTATGACAAGTTTTCTTACCACTTTGGCTCCAGAAGTGAAGACAAGCATCCAGCACCTGGGCTCAGCTCCACTACTTCCTCCCAAAGTCTCTAGAAAATTGGATGGATCCACGCGGGCTTTCTCCAAAACTCTAAATGCCGCAAACACCTCTGGAGCTGGGATTTTCTTGCTCTTGGCAGCGGCCTTTAGCACCAGAACGCTCTCCTCGACTTTGCTGTCCACTTCCCCCACTGAACGATTGTGAAAGAAAGCTTTCCAGAATTTCTATACGAGTGAAAATTTACCTTGAGATTCTCCAGTCGCAACCCTGGCATGAAAATTTCTACTTCTGGTACTTATAACTCGCCTGTCCGCTTTGAGAGCTCCAAATCCCAGCGTACTATGGCGTGGATTTGAACATGAGTATTGACTCAAGCCTTTCGCCCTGACGCTGAATTCCACTCCCACCTCCATAAAAGATAAGGGCATAAAGCTAAGATCCTATAACGCATATTCTTTCATTTTGAACAAGATATTAGGGTTTATAAGTCCATAAACCCTAAACCGTACGCAACTCAAACAACCGCTGCTACCTGACGCAGCCTGAAGACTTGTCACATAAAGCCCGCAACAGTGCATCAGAACCGAAACAAAACTAAACAACACATCTGAAGCATCCCTAACCAACAAGCAGTCGAATCCATGCTTGCCAAAAGAAAAATAAAATACCCACAAAAAACAGTCACCCACCACCACACACTTAGCAACAAAAACCAGGCCCATCATACACACACACTCCATTGTTCGGACAAGCTATATGAGCTAGACACCGGGACAGAGAGCAGGCAAACGCTGAAGAATTCAAGCATTCTGAAAAGATCATTATCAATCATCAACACCACTTCCACAAACAACGAAAGTGGTGCAGTCGAGAAGCCACTGTGACAGAAACAAATTAGTCACTCAAATCAAGGTGCGAGAAGGACGGCATAGCACAACCAGCACCAACAGATTTACAGCCACGCTGACTGCGAAAACAGGAAGTGCAGGCACACACCCATACATCCTCACGCCAATAAAATCCCAAATGCACCATGCTTTCACGAACAAACCTCGTTTGTAGATGTATTGGCCGCCCTCCACACTCTGGTCCATAACTACATCTACCAGAAGCCCATGCCCGTAGGCGTCCCGCAAAAAACCTAGCAGCCCTGACCTTGGCTGCGGAGGACGCTTGAATCTCACCTCGCCCAGAACTACACCATAGGTAGACTCTGCCCTCTGTGTCCTTGGAGGTTTACTTTTTCTTGCCACCTTACTTTTCTCTCTCTGTCTGCTGGGAAACTGTACTTGGTTTCTGCAGTTCTCCTTTCCTGTGTTTTATGAAGTTGAAGTTAGAAATCCATATTTTTAGACGATTTACGGGGGGATTTATTCCAGTAATGGCGTTCCATTGTTTGGGAGGAGACCCCTGCATCGTTTGCATGAGCAAAGGACCGATGCGTTTGACAAGTTCTTGGCTTTCTACCACCCGGTTTGCAATGGTGATTGGGACGAGGCAAAACGAGGACACTCTATGCATGGAACTTTGGACTCTTTTTCGTGGCGAATGGGGCTCAAAGGACTTGGTGGAAGACGTAGCAAAGCGGTGCTGCTTTTGACTCGGCTGGAGATTTTCTTCTACTGCAAGAACAGAGGGGTAACGCCTTATCGCTGGCTACTCATCCAAGCTTGCTGTCAGTATCTTTGAACGACACTGGAAACGGGATGGTTCTCAACATCAACTTCGACAGGAAATTAAACGGCTAGACGATTTGAGTGAGGAGCTGCTTTTACGGGAGGCTGAGATCCCTCCCGTTAGGCACAGGGCATCTCCAGATCCGGCCCAGGGGGATTACATGTCAGAGGGGGGCGTCTATCCACTGGCTAAGCCGGTTCTTACAGGTGTCTTTAACAGGGAGCATCAGGTTATTTGCTGCGAACAGGTTTTACTTTGTACGACATGTGTGGGGGTTGGTCAGATGCTACACAAATCGTGGCATTCTACAGGTTAACGAGCGTGCGGAGAAGATCATCACCAATGATATACTATGGGATGTGATGCGTCAGCTCACAACAAAAGAGGGCATGCCAGGGGTGTCATTCTATCAGACGGTGAAACAGGCTTGCAGGCCGAACACCCTACAAGCTTCGATATGTTTTTCTGCAAGCCACGATTCAGTATTTCTACTTTGGATGGTGTTATGCTCTGTCATTTGGTACAAACATATTGCAGGCAGAGATCATGGGCCGTGATGGGGTTGTTTTAGATAAGCCCCAGTCGCTTTTGGCGATGCACAACTACTTGCAAAGCGTGGACGACATTAAACATAAGATCTATAGCGCGCTAAGCAGCCTCAAGGATTCTTCTTCCCCTGGGGCTGGTGGGATGCAGAGAATGGAGTGATGGCACGGCGCTGTTTGATGGACTGACGCTGACGGAAACGATGGAGAGGCTTAAGACGGAAACAAGTGAAATTGTGAAAGGCTCCACCTGGATAACAAGGCGGTGGTTGTGTACATTGCTGAGAGCCAGTACACGAGCCTGGATTACATCTGTGACAGGTGTACACTCTTCGTAGCAGACAATGGTGCTGGTTCGGACTTGATGTGGCGCTTTCACTTTGCATCTGAGACCATTGTTCTGTTCACTGGTCAACGAAAGCCACGCAAGTCTATCCACTAAGGAAGGCAGCTCCAAAACCTCAGCTTACGCAGCAGCACTGGGACTCCAGTATATACTTGATATATCATGGCCTTTCTAATCGTGTATCCAGCTTCAAGGGGAACGCTTCCGAAGGTAACCAGAACGGAGTTAGCTCAGCAAAGTGCACAATAGTGGTTGACGAGTCCAATTGAAGAATTTAGAACGCTTTTGAAGAATTCAAGCGCGGGAACTACCGGCCGATCGACATCTGCGGAGTATGTCACCGGAAGGAGGATTCTGAAGTTACAGCTGAGAGAGGTCACTGGATAGCTTGCGATTATTGCAACAACTGGTTTCATGCAGTGTGTGCTGCTATATATTGGCATTTTCTTGTGTTCCGTTTGCAAGGAACTCCCTTGAGGCAATTTGTTTGATAGTTTTTTTTTTTTTTTTTTCCTTCACATTTTTCTTTGCTACCTCGCAATTTTAAAACTTGCCATCTAGCGTCGGGTCCATTTCCTCCATCCCCAGGTAAAATATTTCGATTCTCTGTCCCCTCTCGAAGGCAAGATCGATCCACAGCATCAGCTACCTCTTGGCGCACTCGACTGCAAACCTGTCCTTGGAACGCCAACTCGATCTCGGCCAGTAGCCGGAATAGCTTCTCGGCCCTTGTCTGGGTCGCAAACACGCTGATCATGTCGAGCACCTCGAGCGCTGCGTCGTTGGCCATCTTGGCAACATTCTTAAATACCAGATAAGCAATATATTCTGCCATCCATTTTCAAAAGGTATAGTATGGAGAGTAATGTTGATGAAACCATGGTGCTATATCATCCTCTCCACATGTTTCACAAAGACTGGTGGATCCATTTTTAGAGGAAGAATCCATCCAAGAGCCACAAATGTTTAGACTCTGTTGCCATGAACATTTGAACAAAAGGTGAAAAAGGGGACAAAATTTTAGAATAATCTTAAACGATGTTTTTGATTTTCAGCGCTTTATTACATTATGAAATCAAGAGTCCCAGACAACAGCACAACAGCAGCCAGCTGCCAGAGGTGGAGAAAATTTCTTCTTCCCACTGGAGGCTCGCTAATCTGTACAGGAGCAAAAAGAGGAGAGAAAAAAAAAAGAAAAAGAAAAGAGCCACAAATCCCCGCTCCTCAAAAACGTTGCTTAGTAAGAAAAAAAGAGAGAAAGAGCTGAGAGAGAGTAGCAAGCAACCTGGTCAATCCATCCATGTTCCGTTATCGCTCCACTTGATATCCTCCTCCTCACCACTTCGTCCCTCAACTCTTGGAACTTTTTTCTCGCGCACCGATGGTACTTTAGCTTTCTCGTTTCCTTCGATCGTAGCGCGTACTCAAGCTCACCCTCCACCGGTGATGGATCGTCGCCTGCTCATCGAACCATGCGCTGCTCCCACGAACAGATTGTTGATGAGGTTCTCCAAGTCCTCCACCGAGTACTTGAGATATCTCTCCGAGTGTCTCATGCCTTCGAGGTGGACCCTGTATCTCCCGAGGAAGGATCGGTAGGCCGGGATGAGCTTGTCACTGATGAGAACGCGTAGCTCGTCCCGGAGGCCGTCGGACACCACCCATCCCGCCTGCGTCCTGTGGATCTCCTCAAACGCAGCGTTGAAGTTCTTGAATCTCTCCTTGAGTATCTCCTTGGAGATGTTGTATCCCGGTCCCCGGATTCCCTCGTCCCGGAGATAGGAGAAGATCTTCCCCCACGCCACCCTCTGGTAGTTCATGGCGTGGTACCGCACCAGCGAGCTGTGCCTCCGCAGCCAAGAGTCCCCGATAACGAACTGGATCCCAGCGTGCTTGGCCTTTTGGACGATGTAGTGTGTGTTGTTCATCAGGAAGATGGTGCTCAGCACCGTGTCCTTGTACAGCCTCGCGTTCTCGTCCGTGTGCCTCATCAGCGCCTCTAGTATCTCCATCAAGACCGGCACCAGCGGCGATCGGAGAGCTCCAACTTCGTTCTCGTCCTCACCGGCACCCGCGGCTTCGCTCGTCTCGTCGCCGCCAGCCACACCAGCCTCCCCGTTCGCGGACTCCTGGTGACCAAAGAGCTCCTTCATCGTGTCCATGTACTCGGACAGAAACGAGAGGTAGTTCATCAGGTACCGCGTGAGGGGATGCACGGCTCCGTTAACAACCGGCTGCGTCGACAAGCTCGTCTCGATGGCGTTCTTCACCCCGACGAAGGTCTCCCTGGCAGCACCACTGAGTATATCGAGAACATCAGCAGCCTCTTGGCGCACTCGACTGCAAACCTGTCCTTGGAACGCCAACTCGATCTCGGGCAGCAGCTCCTTGAGCGTCTCGTACATGTCCAGCAGCCGGAACAGCTTCTCGGGCTTGTCCGGCGTCGCAAACACTCTGATCATGTCGAGCACCTCGAGCGCCGCGTCGTTGGCCATCTCGGCAAAGCACGTATCGCTCTCCTCGAGGTCCACGGCGAAAACCTCGTCGGAGAGAAACCTCTCACTCGCAAACAGCACCTTGAACGAAACCTTCATGGCCTTGAGGCACTTCTTCATGCGCGGCTCCAAAACCTTCCACTCCATCTTCTGGACGTCCTCGGACGAGAGCCTCTCCACTCCCAGCAAGAACATACTGTCCTCGAGGACGCCCTTGCGGACGAGGATGTAAGCGTCGATGCAGTCCCGGGAGTGATCCATGTTGGCCATCCTCCGGGCTATGTCGCTCAAGTCCGCGACGATGGCGGGCGGGAGGAGATCTATGATGAAGCTCTGCTCTCGCATCGACTGCTGCTCGGTGGAGACACCATCTGGATTCGTTGACGAGCCATCTTCGTCGGATGGATCCGGGTTGGAGCTGAAAGATGGCGCCGAGAAGCTCTCGGGCAGCCAGCTCGGGTCGACGCACTCGGTGTGGATCGCGAGCAAGTGCTTGAACTCGCTCTTCAATCGCCCCTGGGCGATTCGCAGCACCTCCTGGATCCTGGCAGCATCGGGGCCGCCATCGCCATCGCCAAGGAGAGCTTGGAGGCTATCCACGGCGAGGAGATAATCCTGCGCGTCCTCGGAGGAGATCTCCCAGACCATCTGCTCGCCAGTGCCATTCTCCCATTTGCGCACCACGGCCTCGGCGTGATCCAGGGCCACCGACACGTCGAGATCTGGTGGGGAGGAGGCGGAATCGCCGGCCCGGGCCGGAGAGTCGCGGATGGCGAGGCTGGAAATCTCCGGCAGCAAGGATTCATCCGTCATTGCGCGAGAATTTCTTACTTTTTTTCCCTGTAGCTACGCCACGAATCTACCGCTGGCGCTTCCCGACAGTGAAGAGAATCATCTATCGCTAGCGCGCTACCTCGCTCGCTCGCTCGCTCTCACGAGGAATTTACCCGCAAATCGCCAGCTCCCGGGAATGGCGACTGGCGATGGCGATGCCGCTGGTGCTTCACATTCTCCATCCCCCTCCTCCAAAACCCTAACCCTAGCTATGCGAGCACAAATTTTGGGGCCTTTTCCTCTCGATGGCGCCTGGGACGAGCGAATGCAGGGATGGATCACGCTGGCGACGGCGCGGCGGAGCTAGAAGAATCGATAATCTCGCCAATGTGACAGAGATCACAGCCGATTCAAGCTGGCGGCTCCTCCCCCACTCCAATTTGGCGAGTCGTGCAGTGGAATCTCTCGTGCCTCGCTCGCAGGATAGAAATATGGATTTTGGAGAGAAAAAATAGGTAAGCAGCGGTTCCTTCTTTGCTATTTGTTTATTCTTCGTGACTCCCTCCTGACATCATGTATTTTTTCTTTTCTTTTTGGCGCTCTCGCTTGCTTCTCTCTCTCTCTCTCTCTCTCGCAGAATTTTTTCGTGGATTGGGCTGGCTGGCTCTTGGCTGGTCCAATCTTTACGATCAAGGAGAAGCTTTTCTTCTTCTCCTCGTACTTATAGTAGCTGTGATACTCGACTCCACTCAAGACACCTCTTTGAACACGTCGAGGAGAATTTTAAGCGGAAGACCGCGCGTTAAAAATTGTCAAACACGCTGGAGCAAGACTGTTCTCCTTTGTTTGTACTTTGTGGGCTGTGGGGTTGACTATCATTGCCTCTCGAAACTTTTGAGCTGCGCTTTGCCTGAGTTGATCGATGCTGCGTCTGTTTTTTTCTTCTTCCTCGAGACTTATCCGATTTTCCGCTGATTGAAACAGGAGGAAAATGTCAAAGCTGGGAGAGGAGAGGACGGGAAACTTTTCTTACAACGAGCGATCTTTTTATACCACTCCAGGTACTTTAAAACGAAAGCAAGCTCGTGCTTTGACGCTGTCAAGGCTCATGTCTTTGGCGTTGGGTTGACTGTGCTTTTGTTTAGAATGATCTGTCCCCGACTTGACGATTAAGCTCGAGGATGAGCGCCAGACCGTGTCAACCGTCGTTCCTCCGCTCTTGTGTTCGGGTCAAGGTGAAAGTCTTTTTTGTGCTTTGCAGATTGGTTCTCCCGTTCTCATTGCCACGCCTTCGTTTTATCTGGTTCGAGTTTGAGAAACTTCTCTTCTGGAAGTAAGCTTTGTTAGAAATTCATCTAATTCACCTCTTTTCTCCAGAACGATTCCTACGAGTGACAGACGTTTAGTTTGGACGGCCTGGATACCTGATTCGGAATCCGTGGATGGTGAAGATCTATTCTATCCTGATAAGGGAAGTCAAGTAGATATTTCCACCGGAAGATATGAGTAAAAGGCCAAAGCGACTGTCCCTCAGCTCATGGCTGCTGTTGCCGCAACAACGGTGAGTTCTTCGATCTAAAAAATCTCTAGCTTTCCAGACTCTCTTAAGGAGCTGTTTAATCTGTTCCTTGTACCAGGCTTCAGTCTCCCTGCAAAATGGTGCTGTGTCGCAAACGTCAGCTCAGCTCCAATCGTTTCCAGATTCGGCAAGAATTGCTCATCTGGGATTTCTGAAGCAAGGTAGCAACGCCAGCCATTCACTTTGCAAATGGCAGATTTATGCGCCACGGCGGGGTCTGTCTCGAGCCAGATCAAGCTGCATTGCTGCTGTAGTAGCACTCTCAGCTTCTACAACGGCTGCTACAACGGAAGCCGTCACTCCTCTCAAAGACCTGCCGCTCTGCCCCTATGTCAACAAGGATGGAAGAATTCAGCCACCAGTGGATCCCGACACTGCCGCTACCATTTTTGCCGTAATTGACAACAACAACAGGGTTCAGTACATTGGTTTCTCCAAGGATATCAGGAACTCTCTTAGAACTCTCATCGGAAGGCGTCCGGAGCTTTGCCACTTTTACAAGGTGTTCCACTTGCCGGTGCTTGATCAGCAGAAAATGCTCGCTGTGAGACAACAGGTACGTATGCTAGAAGTTGCTATAACAAGATTGATGCATGATGGTCGCTTTTTTTCATTTTTCTAGTGGGTGAACGAGCTTGGGAGCATTCCAAGGGGAAACGCCGATATTACACAGAGAAACCTGTGGGAGCAGCCCGTCGACGCTGGATCCATTTCCGACAGAGGGAAGGCGGCGGCGGCGGCTGATAGAGCCAAGACGCTCAAACAAATTTTGTTCGACAAAGGCGTCCTGGAAGAGGTAGAGTTTCTCCAGAAGCGTTCGCCTTAAAGCTTCTCTCATCTTTCGTTGGTATTCGGCAAAACAGATGGTCTACAACCCGGACTTGCTCGCAGAGGGAAAGTGTGACATCCTGCCAGTAAGTTTCTCCTTTTCTACATAGAAAAAAAAAGAAGCTTACGTTGTGAAGTCACTCTAGTCGAAAGATCAAACACCCGAGGAACTGGCCGCTGCTGCCAAAGCCCGCGAGGAGGAATCATCGAAACGAGTGGCTTGTTCCGTCAAGACGCCCGACGATCGAGAGATAACATTCGACGTGTACTACGAGAGCAAGTTCGTCACAAACGGCGGATGGATGTACGACATACTCGTAACTCACGACAACAAGGAAACGAGGTACTGTGACTTGTTGTTTTATTGACATTTCTAGCATCCCTGTGCATAGGCACCGCGTGATTATGGGACGGATTTATCCCGAGGCCGCAAAGATGGACGAGGATCGTTTCCTAGAAACCGTGATGGCGTTCTTACTGGTATGTATAGCTCTCGTTGTTTCTTCTTGTCTCTTTCCTTTGTTGCGACTGATTTGTTCCAACTTCGCGCGCGCAGGATAAGAAAATCCCACGGCACACGGATGGAGTTCGGTCGCCGCTCACGTTTCCCATAAATTACTTCGCGGTTGGACAGGTCGAGCAGCGGTGGGACGAGGAATTCCAGTCGTGGTTCTCGGAGCCACTCCCGACTGACCACTGGAACTTCAAGAGGATCCACTCGTATGGGCCGACGATCGACACGGACTTGGAGCTGGGCCCGGAGGATATAGTTCTTCCTAAAGCCGCCGAGTAGAAAGAGAGCGGCCACTTTTGTTTGGATGGGATTCGTTTCGTCCCAAAATCTTTGTCGCAAAAACTTCCCCTACTAACGATCACAAGTCTGAAAGAAGAGAATCACTGGTGAAGAGCTCAAGCAAAAAGAATGGTGACGAACCTGTACGCATGGATCTCTAGAAATCGTCCAAGTCGCTCGCGTCAGAGCATGATCCCGAGTCTCTATCGCTGTCTAATTTTGTGGCCGTGGAGGACGATGATCTTCTCTCACGTATCTGTTCCAGTACGTCCCTTGCGCTGGCAATCACCGCGGACTTGGCAGTGGACAAGTTCTTGCTCGATCCAAGCCGCGCCTTGAGCTTTGAACCAAAGCCACCACCACTGCTGCTTGGATCGTCTTTCTTCGCATTTTTCCTCTGTGACGCTGCCGGTAGTTTGTTCCTGCGAATGAGGAGATCCAGATACCTCTCGTGCTTCCTCCCATCGGTAGACGCTGGCCTTAGAACCTCCGAAGAACTGGGCCTCTCACTGGAAGAATCCACCACCGCTTTGATCACCTCTTTCTTCTTGGCTGATTTCTTTCTCTTGGTAGCGGCAGGGGTGGCGATGGAAACCAAGGCAGCGGCTTTGTCCCAGCAAGGAATGTCCGTGCTCTCCAGGGCAGCAAAGGCGTCTTCTTCGTATCCCTGGTCATCGATCTGCTGCTTCCGAAGGATCTCGCGGACAGCCTTGTGCGATTGGAAGATCGCCTTCGTGCTCCTCCCGCCGACCTTTCTAATCTTCGCCGCCTGCTTCTGGTGTAGCAATCTAGTCGGGGACAGAAGCTTTCCTTCAAGCGGCCGAATTGGCGAGCTCAAGCACACCCTCCTCCCGTGCTGCTGGGGCGCCAACGGCGGCGTGGGATGGGCCGAGTAGAATCTGTGGAAGCACTCGTCCGCGGTCTTCCCTGGAACCTGGCAACCACGCGATCGATCAAATCCCCAGAATTTCGCGAGAACTCACAAGCTTCGCGATGTCGCGCCAGAAATTCGGCGTCGCTCGAACGGCGAGGTGCGCATTGTGGAGCCTAGCCTCCTGCTCCTCGGTCCAATCCTCGCCATCGCCACTTCCATGGCTCACATTCTTCTTCCGACACACCATCGCCCTCTCAAGCCCTAGAAAATGTGACCGTTTCCGTAAGGATGAATCCAAGCCATCCGTCCGAAACCAGTCCAAGCCGTCCACCAGGATCAATCCAAGCCGTCTACGAGGATCAATCTCAGCCGTCTACCAGCAACCGTCTTCCTCCCTGCTAGCAAATCGTGGTTGTATTCTCACATATACACCCCGGTAGAGGGTTTGCGTAAAAGCTCTCCTCGAGCTTTGCGTTTGACGAGCCCGATTTCCTAAAGTGGGGTTCTCCCTGCCTGTTTCTATGAGTCTTTTGGACTTGGAGCTTGACACTGTCCCAGCCGATTGCCCGCCTCTCAAACTCATCAAAGATCCTCACGAGACGAGTCCTGGAACACAAGAATCGAAGAACATCACTCGTAAGAACTCGTAAACACTAGCCTTACCTGTCCGGGATCAAAGTCTTGCGGTGGCCGAGAAATCTTCGGTGTCCCTGCACTGCTCTCGCCATGTTTCCATCAAACGTTGGAATGAAAACGTCGCTCTCCACTGCCACCATGTAGTCGAGCGCTGCAAGCCTGTTTTGGAACCTCCGAAATGGCTTCAGCTCCTCGGGGGACGTGAGCGTCTCTTTCGTGACGACGTTGGGATATAGCGCCGTGAAGGACTGCATTCTTTGTCTTCCGCCATAGATCTCGCCCGCGGCGATGTATACCGTCGTGTTCTGTGGATATCCCAAGGCTCTCAGTAAGAGGCCAATCTCCAGTGGAGTTAGAGGGCAGCCACCAGAAGCTCTTCGAGTCTCGGCGTTGATCTCCTTCTCTTTCCAGCGACTTGTGTTGTAGCGGATTCTTCTAAGCTCGGATGCTTCTGCGTACGAGAGGCCTGCTGTACAACCCGAAAACGCTAGCATGTCCTTCTCGTATCTATCCAAGAAAAAGCAAAGTTAGAAAAAGGAGAAAAGGTCTGTAAAGGTGAACCTCAAATGTAGAGCGATATACGAGCCTCCCTTTTGCAGTCGTTTGACTATCCTGTTCCCTAAAGATCGAAGGCTCGGCTCAAACCGCAACGCCTTGTAGTTGGCTCTACAACGTAATCTTTGGAACTCGTCAGAGATTTGGTTCGCCAGCCTCGAGTCAGTCAGTGAAAAACGCAAAACCTTGTGTTTCAAAAGAAGAGGCAATATTTCTTCCTGGTAGTATGATACCTGCAAACAAATAAAAATTTCAGCGAACACTGCAGAATTAATAGTTCTTACTTGTGACCAAGATTTTGGTGCAAGTTGGAAAATGTCAGATGAATTAAAGTCGTTTGGAAGTGTTTTAACGATCCTGATGTCATGTTGCAGCTGTTTTATGAATTGATTTACGTCAAAAATGTCTTCGAAGTTACTGCAAAGAGAAAAAAAAACCAGTTCAAATGGCGAGAAAAGTGAAAGGAAATACCTCGGGTCATCCCAGTAAGAAGTATGATCGAGATCTGGAATCACCAATGTAGCGTTCATCACACGCGCCACTGCCACCATATCGCAGATCTAAACAATGCCCGTACATAAACTGCAAATCAGTCTATAGAATTCATGGACACGGAGCAAGAAACACTAAAGAAGACGTACGGCAGTTCTCATTTGGTTGAGCCCACCATTTGCAAAGGTCATCAAGTATCCATTTGTCTCACCGCTAGAACTTCCTGCAAGAAAGAAGAAAGGGGGGAACAATCTTAGAGATCCAAGCACAGAGAGAACAATCGGAAGTTACTTTTCTGGTAATTCGTGCGGTCGACACACTGATAGAATCTGGAATTCGGCTGACTCCACAAGCTCTCCACATTGCAATCCCTCTACACAGCCAAGAGATCAGCGATCTGGAAGAAAAGAGAAGATAAAGATCATGCCTTTGATCCCCTGGGAGGAGTAGCCGCTGCGCGAGATCCAGCCTTTTGGCACACATCCACGAGAATGCCAGTGTCCCCGAGCTGCCGCAAGCTGCCCTCGATGCATCGGAGATGATCCAGTTCGCCGGAGATTATCCGCGCCGTGCTCTTGCGCGCGCGCGCGACCTGTTCAAACTGCCGCCGTGATCAAGCGATGGATCGATCAAGAAAATCCGCCGCGGAGGGAGAATATCGAGAGGGGGAGCGATTGCGCGCGAGAAAGATCGGATCATCGTACCTTGAGCGGATTCTCGATGAGCCGGAAGCCGCCGGTGATGATCTGGACGACGAGGAAGAGCGAGAGGAGGCCGCCGAAGCAGTAGGATGCCACAGCTTTGCTCCTCCGGGAGCTCTGCTCCATGGCGCTCAAAGATTTCTTGGAGCCGCCCAAGAGGACGGGGGGCATCTTTGCAAAGTGTGCCCTAAACTTGCATTTACTTAAAATGTTGGATAATTCGGGCGCTAAATCTAAATGTTCTCCAAATTAATCTAGCCCTAAATTTTTTTTTGCCGCGGTTGAGTTACGTTTCTAATTAATCACAATTAATGGAGAAGGAATTTGCCGCCAAAACGAAGCACGCGCTCGCGCTAGCGCCGTCATCATCCAGCCCAGCGATTTGAGCAGCGACTAGAGCTCCTCGCTCCACATCGCCATGGACGATGCAAGCGCTGAGAAGAATGATCCACATCACGGCGTCGGCCTGGAAAGGTAAGAGCTCGATCGCCTCCTGCGCTCGATCCAGCTCGCCCAATCGTCCTAGCAGATCGACGAAACAGCCGTAGTGCTCCACGCTCGCGGCGATGCTGTGATCCTCGGCCATGGAACCCAGCAAGCCGCGAGCTCGCGACTCCAGTCCCAGATGGCTGCAAGCGTCGAGGACGTGCGTGAGTACGAACTCGTTTGGGCTCACTCCCTCGAGCGCCATCCGGAAGAACAAGCTCACTGCCGATGGCGATGACGATGATGGATCGCTGCGATCGCTCTGGGAGTACACTGCGATCATCGAGCTCCACGACTGGACGTCCCTGCAAGCCATCCTCTCGAAGGATCTCACAGCGTCTTCCACAGCTCCACACTTAGCGTAGAACTCCACCAGCGCGTTTCCAACCTGGACGGACTTCTCCTCCAGTGCCTTGCAGTAGCGCTCGTGAATCCTCCTCCCGGAATCCAGATCGCAGAGGCTGCCGCAGGAATCCAGGATGCTGGCAAGCACTACCCTGTCCGGCTCGCAGTCCATCGCCTCGAAGAGTTCCAGCGCTTCTCGGTGATGGCCGCACTGTCCATAGGCCGAGATCATCGCAGTCCAGGAGACGATGTTCCTCACCGCTAGCCGGTCGAAGACGTTCCTCGAATCCTCGCAGCTCTTGCATCTCCCATACATGCTCACCAGCGCGTTCCCGACGATAGAATCGCTCTCCAGGCCGCCGCTACGGGCAACTCCATGCAAAGCTCTCGCCATCGCTAGACTTCCAATGCTTCCACAGGCGCTCACGAAAGTCACACTGTCCGCTTTCGCGCCCTCGAGCAGCATGGATCGGAAGACAAGAATGGCCTCGGCTCCGAAACTGTTCTGCGAGTACGCTGCAAGCATCGCGTTCCAGGAGCTCGTGCTCTTGCTGGAGAGCTCGTCGTCGAAGAAACTCTTGGCATCCGCGACGCTGCCGCACTTCCCAAGCATGCTAACGATCGAGCTTCCCACCAGCGAGTTCTCCAGGATCATCCGGCTTCCTCTGATGCTCTCAAGAACCGCTCTTCCAGCTTTCAAGCAGCGGAGATTCGCGCAGGCCGCGAGCACGGCCAAGATGGTGAAGTCGTCGGCTGCGACTCCTTCCACGCACATCTCCCTGTAGAGCCGGAGGGCTTCCCTGTCGCGGCCATTTTGCGTGTAGACACCGGCCATGAGATTCCACGTAAAGACGTTCTTCGTGCGTATCCTGTTGAAGACCGCTCGCGCCTCCTCCAGGCTGCCACACTTGCCATACATCTCCACCAAGAGATTCCCCAGAAATCTTCCGAAAAGCCCCTCTTGCACCAGCTTCTCGTGAAGCCGCCTGCCTCTGGCGTAGTCCCCGAGTGTGCCACACTCGCGAAGAAGAATGGCGTACTTGTCCAAGTTGTCCAGCGGCCTCGCTTCGCTTGACAGCCACCGAAGAAGCAAGAATCCACGCCTTTCCTTCCCGTGGTGAGTGAGACATAGTTCTCTGTAGTAGAGCTCAATGCCTTGGCAGCGTCTGAGAGTCATGGCCAAGCCCAGCACGAAGATCCTTGAATAGTCGCGGAAGCTCCATCCATTTCAGCTTGGACGGATCCAAGACGCAAAGGCCGCGTACAGCGATTTCGCTGCATTGCCGGACGCACCTCAGAAAGCCGTGATTCCGCCGCGTCCAGCGCCAGAATCCACCCCTTCCTGCTCGCCTCTACCTCCTCTTCGTCCATCGCGAAGAGGAGAAGAGCCCTAAGAGATTAGGGTTTAAAGGTCTTTCAAACGGGTATATTTCCAAATTTGGTTTTATCCAATAAATTAATTGAAAGCTTATTTCCAAAAGCGATCATCTGAAGGCCACCAGCGTTAACGACGATCCCATGGCTTTAGCTTGCATAAAACTTTATCCATGAAGCTCGAGAGCTTCTCGGTCGATCTCACCGATAGCCTGTGTAACGTAGAACGCGTCATAGAGCTCGTGACATGGTGCCGAAGTGACGCACGGAGCTATGATCCACACCATGCACAGCTCTCGCCTCTGCTGCTAGTCATCCAAGGCTTCCACACGCGTCTACAAGAACCTGTTCCTGCTCGTCGTCCACGAACCTGTTGGCATCTCTGGCCCAAGCTTTCCCAAAGACCGCTTCTAAAGAGCCGAGATTGATGGAGTGACACTTCCCAAGAGCCGGAGCCAGACAGAAGCCATTATCTTTTCGTTCGCATCCTGTCCAAAACTCCTCCAAGCGATCACACTTCTACCAAAAAGTTCCCCAGAAACCTGACCCGCTTCTCATGAACTCGTCTCCCTCCAGTATAACCCCACAATCCCGAAGAAGACCACCATACTTGTATATAAATTGTCGAGCGGCTTCGCTTCGCTTGATAGCCATCGAA